TGGTTACAGGTGGGAGGAGGAACGTGGAGGGCAATTTCTCCCGGTCCCTGTGTAGACATTAGGCAGTGTCTTGTGACAGGGAAGCTGCCCGTATGGCTCCCTCCGGCCTCCAAGGGGCATTCATGGCTCTGTCATTAAACAGCAGCTGGAGTCTAGAGCAGAGTTGTCCCATCTGTGGACCTGCGTGGACTGCTGGCATCACTGCTTTCCAGAGAGGGACCTGTTCTCCTGTTAACAGCTTATTGACTCCATCTCTGCTCACAGTATCAGGCAGAAGCATATGAATTCCTGATTCTGCAGCACACTTTCAGCGGTGCCATAATCAAAACATTGAATCATAGGAAGATGGGGCATTTCAGGATGGAAGGGACTTCAGGAGGTCCCTAGACCCTGCTCACAGCAGTATCAGCAGTGAGGCCAGACCAGGATGCTCAGGGCTTCATCCAGCCTGGCCTTGAAAACCCTCAAGGATGGAGACTGCACAGCCTCTCTGAGCGACTTCTTCCACCACTGGACCCCCCTCGTGGAGGAAAAGTTTGAAGCTTTTCCTCATACCCAGTTTGCATCTTTCGTGTTTCAACTTATGCCCATTGCCTCTTTGTGTTGTGGGGGCCCAAAACCGCACTAATCCCATTGTGATTCCGTGAGCACCAAGTGAGGGGGATGATCCCCTCCCTCCAGCTCCTGGCCAGGATGCTGCTGGTCATCCTCGCTGCCAGTGCACGCTGCAGGCTGATGCTCTGCTCCCGGTCTGCCCGCATGCCCAGAGCCCCTCCAGTAGCCAGCCAGTCTTCAGCCTGTTTTGTTGCAAAGTGCTCCCTTCCCTGGTGCAGGATTATATGTTTGCCCTTGTTGGATTTCATACTCCTCCCCCAGCCTGCCTAGCTGCCTCCACGTGACAGTCCTAACCTGGAGCATACTGACGGCACTCCTCAGTCTGGCATCATCTGAAAACCTGATAAGGTGTGCTCATTCCTGTTTGTGGATGAAGATGATAACCAGGACAGACTCCTGGCCGTACCCTGAAGTGCCGTGTGTGCTACCAGCATCCATCTGGAGCATGGCATTAACCACCACCTCCAAGCTTGACCACCCAACCAGTAGTTTTCCCATCTATCTGCGAATCTGTCCACACTGCAGTATTTCACTTGTGCCCTGTGCCATCAGAGCACTGCAGTCTGCTGGCACTGCAGTGCATCTCGGAGAGCTCCTCTCTGGTCACATTTATGGCGTGACAGCCACCAAAAGGCAGGATAAGTGTGCAGGGCCTGTGACCTGCAGAGGGAACGCATTTACGGGAGCCTCAAGCGATGCCAGATCTCAGTTCATAAAGCTCTGGACTGGAATCGAAGCCACGTGTTTGCTTGTTTCGTTCCTTTAGAGAAAAGTATTTGATTAATTTATTCTCTGGGCCACAGTAGACGTTCATGAACCACATAAAAAAGGAAATTCCCTATTGATACACAAGCCCCTGTGTTTGCAGAGAAGGAAGGGAGATCTGAGAGCATGGACTAGATATTTGTGCCAGGCACGGCGGTGCAGGGGGGACAGGTTCCTGTGTGCATCCTTGCTGTGGGAGAGGCAGGGAAGGACCTGGGGCTGGCAGGGGAAGAAGCCTCTCCTGTTCAGATGAACAGCAGGGGAGCTGGAGGAGAGATAAGCCCAGAGCAAGCAGCTGAATCCACACAGCTCCTGTTTCCAGTTTCTAGCTTGGAAATGCCAGGGAGCTGGACAGTCTCCCCTGCCCCGCAGGCGTGCTACAGACCCCCGGCAGATGCGGGACAAACACCGGCAGTGTGGCAAGGGACGGGTTTACCCACAGCAGCACAAGCGATGGCAGCAGCAACAAGGGGGGGGGGGGGGGGGGGGGGGGGGGGGGGGGGGGGGGATGGACTAGATATTTGTGCCAGGCACGGCGGTGCAGGGGGGACAGGTTCCTGTGTGCATCCTTGCTGTGGGAGAGGCAGGGAAGGACCTGGGGCTGGCAGGGGAAGAAGCCTCTCCTGTTCAGATGAACAGCAGGGGAGCTGGAGGAGAGATAAGCCCAGAGCAAGCAGCTGAATCCACACAGCTCCTGTTTCCAGTTTCTAGCTTGGAAATGCCAGGGAGCTGGACAGTCTCCCCTGCCCCGCAGGCGTGCTACAGACCCCCGGCAGATGCGGGACAAACACCGGCAGTGTGGCAAGGGACGGGTTTACCCACAGCAGCACAAGCGATGGCAGCAGCAACAAGCATGCAACAAAACACCGCCTATGTCTTATCATGTATACATTTCTCCCACGTCTCTAAGCACTTAACTCACACAATTACTTAATTATGAGCAGAAATTAATGGCTAACGATTAAAAATCTTATCAAGGAAGCACATTTCTAGCAGAGGCTCCAAAAACTACAACGAGGCAGCAGCAGGTCGTGAAACAAATCCCTGAGACCTGGTACAACAAACATGCGCCCTTGCTCGGGCACAGCGATTTGGCCATTTCAGAACAAGTGGGGACGTGCCAACGGCACCAGACTGGATCCATCACCTGGTTCTGGGTCAGCCCCTCAGGGACTGTGGTGCTTTTCCCAGCAAGGCTCTGAAACTGTTCCTGCAAAGGACGGGAGTCAAAGAAGGATAGAGAAGGCATTTTGGATGCTAGTTAGCAAATTCTCACTTAAATGAGAAGGAGAACCTACAGGAATTGCAGCTGACCTTCACACTAGCTGGAGCAGAAGGTTGTTATTAAAGGAACCAGTGAGAGGAACCGTGCAGTTATTCAATATAATAGGTCACACAAGTCTATGTGTAGTTAAAAATAAAATCTATTACCTGGGAAAATCAGCTCAGACGACCCTACATCACCAAATGCTCACTGCATCTCCTCTGGCTGAGCGCCACCAAGCCGCACGTCCTGCAGTTTTGCCATCCCACCCTGGCAGCTGTTCCTGAACAGCTGGTAACTCCTGATGTATTGATTCCCCAGCATCCCAAAAAAGAAGGAAGAGCAAGTATTCCCCTTAGCTGGGGAAGGAACTGGGGCTCACAGTCAGATTTTCAGAGAAAGGTGCTGTGAAGGAAGGTGGTAGATTCCCACAAGGTTTCTAAAAGCCTCTAAATTGCTGTCTTCACCAGGAACGATGCATCCAATGCACCTGGGCTTTCAGATGTTCACCCTCAGCAGGAGGATGCCCCTGGAGTGAGGAGGGGCTCGTGCCATTGGTAAAAAGCAAGCCCAGAAGGGACCAGGCAGGAGAGGAGGAGACCAGTAGGGCAGGACACCTGCCCCCCGGACATGGAGGAGACCAACCGAGCTTGCTGCTCCCCACGCTTTAAGGCGTGATTACAGCTTGTGGTCGAGCTAAAGAGTTGATGCAAGTTCAAATCTTCACCTAATGTGAGCAGTCAGCTGTGCCATCGCAGTCAAGCAGGCCTGGCTGACAATGGAAGAAACGTACCGATAACGGTGTCTATATGTGTGTGTGTCCATGAGAAATGGCGTGAAACAAGAACCGAATCTCACGCTCTTTTCAAACAAGACTTGCTCTCAGGTGTTCACTTTTTATCCTCACTCCTTACAAAGTGCATCTGGTACCCTCGCAGCAGTTCTTTCAGAGAGTACATTTTATGGGTAAAAATTGGTTTCTGTACAACCTATGATCTAACTTCCATGGCTAGTTTCTAATTCTAATACACACATAAAATGGCTGATTTTTTCTTAACTCCTTAGCAATCTGGTAGAACCCAATTTGCAGAACATAATCAAAGCTGGCAACAAAGACTAACCCCAAAAGAGCCTGGACATCAAATCACTGTCACCAACCCCCACTTTCTTATTACAAGTAATTTTTTCTAAATCACCACCTGCTGGAGCCATGTGATTACACATGAAATTCCACTTTGGGTGTTTTTCCTCCGTAACTAGCTCTCTGACCTTGCTGACTCCAAAGAGTTGGCTCAAATGACCTTACGGGCTTGGAAAGCAATAGGGGAAAGAAAGAGAATCTCCAAGTTATCACCACTTTTCAAATCATATGATACTTAGGGGCCAGATTCATGACTTTTAACATACACATTTGGGCCTCAGAATACCGTTTTCCCTCATAGCCAGCATTGTCTGTCATGTGCTGGCCAAAGGCAGCAGAGCTTGGGGGCAAATCCCGGCAGTTCTTTCAAGGTGAAGTAAGTGTACTGATTTCCAGCAGTATCTGACCTCCAGTGCTTAGGCAGAGGCGAGCCCAGCTCGGTGCTCCCACCGCTGTGCACCCACCACTGCTTGCTGCCAGCACCCTGATGCCACCATCTTACCGCGGGTCGCGTGCAGATCCGCAGCCGACAGCGACAGAGGGTTGCACCGATGATGTTAATGCACCTGCAGACCCTGCTCTGCCTGCCCCAGGCGCCTGCACACCCTCCGCTCCCACTGGCCACACAGGCAAGCGCTGGCCACCGGCCAGCTCGTGCCACCTGGCATTTCTCACTGCAAGGCTCCAAAAGGGGAAGGAAATTACAGAAATACAGTGTCCTGAAGACAACTCAGCGTCCCTCAAGAGTCAGCTGGATGGGCACAGTTTTGCACAGAGAAATGTGGAGGTCAGGACATGTCCATCCCCCACGGGCCAGCAACCTCACCACTGGGACACGGCGTGGAGAGACACAGTGTGTTCAGAGAAAACAGGCAGGTTAGAGCAAAGCCTGTGTCGAACGGGAAGAGCCTGGCATTGTCCAAAATGGAGTGATCCCCAGGCTCCACAGAATGGAGGCTGGGGGCTCCTTCTGCATCCCAGTGCAAATGATTTGCTTTGGCAGTCTACAGGCTGGACTACCTCCCGCGCTGGGGAGCCTGGTCTTCCTTCACTCAGGATCGCTCTACACCTCCCCTTTCCCTTCAGCGCTGTGGCCTCTGCCTCGTGCTCGCTTCAGTGCAGAGCATCCACAAAGTGCCATGCTTTCCTCCTGAAATGCTGTCTTTTTTCCCTTCCTTTTATTTCCACACCTTCCCCCCCGTTTTGAAGACTCACCAGGCACCATTCCTGTCAGTGCCGGAGCAGAGTAGCTGCCCTGTCCGGCAGGGGGGACGTGCGGAGGGTATCCTGGGAGGGTTGTGCTTGCCAGCTCGCGACCTGAGGAATCAAACCAACAAATCACCACGTGAGCATCGCGACAAGCAGACACGGTTTTACATCTCCCCGAGCGCCCAGAACACAGCCATGCATTTGTCATCGCTGCTCTGTGAGGACCAGCGTGGGATTTCCAGCCTGGCAGGGAGGGGAGGCACAGTTTTGCTTTCTCTATAAGCTGCCACAAAGCTCCGACGAAGTGAGAGATGGAAAGGGGAAGAGCAGAGCTCTGCAGGGAGAGGAACGTGCCTGCCTGAACTCTGGCTGCTCGCCCCTATTCCCAAGTTCCTCCAAAGCTCAGATTTGTAAAGTCAGAAACAGCGAAATGTGAAATAACACTGATCTTAATGACACTTTCCCAGAAAACTCTCCAGAAAATCACAGTGCACAGGCTGACAGTTTGCAGAGATCTAAATACAATGCAGGACATTCTTTTTATCTCTTATTAAAGCCAGTTAAAAAAAAAAAAGAACAAGCACAAGACATTGAGACGTGAAGATAGTTTAAAATACAGTTTGCTGAGGTGTCAGAAGAAGGGTCAGATTCACAGACACAGCCTGATGTAGTGCGCTTTACCTAGGCCGCAGAAACTTGTCTTTTTATTCAACTACCCACAGGTCTTCCATGGAAATAACCCCACGGAAAGCAGGCGGTGGGGTGTCCCCCATTTCCCTCTGCCCCTGCGCTGGGGGCTGAGGTCCCCTCTCTTCACCCTGCCTCCCCAGACGCAGCTCCCAGTGCCTCCCGGGACACGTCGTTGCCCATGGGGTGAAGAGGAGAGGTGCAGACAGCGCAGCTCGCAAAGTGCTGCAGAAGTGACATCCCGACCCTGCCCAGACCCTGCCTCCCGCGTGTGGATCCCAGGATAGCCACTGTCCCTGCAGGCTGCCGCTGCCGCAGCAGGATTTTGGGGAAATTGCTGTCTGCTGTGGCCACAGGTGGCCTGCCAGGATAAAGGGATGCTCCTGTAATCCCACCAGTAAGGATCCATTCCTCACCACAGAGGGAACCCTGGAGCCTACCCATGGTCTTCTCCTGGACTCCCACGGCATCCTTGGGCAGATCACTTATCCAGGGATAAGTTGCCTTCAAAGACTGCTCAGGTGCATGGTAGCATCTACCCTGGGACACCACGGCCGGGTCTGCAGCTGTACACAGGCACTGCTATCCCCTCCTGGTGAGCATCACACGCTGCTCAGGCCACTGCTCTGCTATGGGGGTCTGCTCAATCCACCACCCCGGCAAGGGACGGTGCTGCCGGCACCTCCACCATCCTGCCAAGCGGCTCCTCCAGAGGCTGGCAGGAGCGAGGGGACCCTTAAGGCAGGGACTGGCCCCTCTGGCCAAACCGCAGGCTCAGAGGCAGCAGCACAGAGCAGGCACCGAGCTCTGAAAAGCTGAGTGTGCACTTCAGCTAAGAGAAAGGGACCCTGGGCTGCAGAGAGCCCCTGGCCCTTGCCCAAAGGATGTGCCCCCGCTCTTCTAACCTCTGCAAGGCAGGGACCACTCAGGCTCCAGCCGGCTCCAAGATGCTGTTGGCCCAAACCAGCCTGTTAGCTGGCAAAAATCACTGCGAGCACAGGTTCCTTCATCAAAACATGGCATGTCAGATCAACAAGAAAAGTTACGAGACTTTGTGGATTTTAGCACCACTGACAAGAAGAAATGCACAGATCCTCGTGTTCAAATTGTTTTCCGTAGGCATTTGATTTTATGACAGTGTTTTTTTCAAGTCTCTAGAGCTTGGAGAGATTGAAACTAGATGTTTTCCTGTGAGCCAAAACCATTTTTTAACTTTTTTGGTTGGCAGAGATTTTGAGCCACAATCTCATTTCGAACTGATCTAAAAATAAAATTTTAAAATCTTTCTTTTTTCGCTATCATCAAAGAAATGAGACCTCATCTGATGAGACGAGAGATGGGAACGCGAGTTATTGCAAATTGCTGCTCACCACCCCTGGGTCATGGCCACGAAGCCCACTTCCCCCACCACCCCCATCAGATGAAGGGGTCCATGCCGAAAGACTCCAGCAGCTCCTGGCACGTGGGCATCACTGCAATGATCTCTCAGCACATGCCCCACTTTCCTCGGCGCTCTGCATCCACAAATCGGGATGCGCGCCGTTCCTCTCAGGTCCTTCCTACAGAATATTTATGGTGCATCCACATCCTGAAAGAATTTAAGGTTCAAAACAATTGATTAATTTGCTCTCCAGTTCTAGGGAGAAGCCAGATCCCTCATGGAAGGGCATCATGAATTCTAATTATTCAATGCAGGCAGAAAATGGCTCTTTTAGATTAACATGTTCTCCCCTCATCACTGCCCTGCTTCCTTCTCACCCACACAAAATTAAACTCTGATTATGTCATCTCTACAGCCTGGGGAAGGCAGAAGTATCTGTGATCTACTTAAATTTGGTCGCAGAAGCAAAGTTCACTCCCAGCGCTGGCAGGGAGCACCAGCCCTTGACTAAGGGCTGTCCCTAATGCAGAAAAGCATCTCTCACAGCCTGAGCTCCGCGCTGGTACCACCATCCAGGAGTCCTCCGGTGACCCAAGAAGGGCCAACACCGTGCTTCCCTTCCTCGGTGGTGTAGTGTCACCACGGAACAGCTCAACACCCCGTCTCCCAAAGGTGCCCAGGTCTGTGGGCCAACAGGCAAGTTTATCCTCCTGTCCTGTCCCACACTGACCGCTCCCTTGTCCTCACCTTCCAATAGTTATTAAAGAAACACCATTGCCCTACCATTTTTTTCAATATATTGAAATATTACAACATTTTTCACTTTCTCCAAAGCCACTGTCACACCCAGCGTGGTTAGGGTCATTGTCAAGGGCACTGAGCAAAGTAGCCACCACTGGAGACACCAAGAAAAGTAGCTTCTCAGCTCCTCTGTAAGTCAAGACAACATCACTCACGGTCTGTTCTACAGGTCTGGTCTGGTTTCCATCGCATCCCATTTCCAAATTAAAAGTTCTGGCATCTGCCAACAAATGTTTACAGGAGGGTCACTGCTGCCAGGCCTCAGGCAGGGGCTGGGAGGTGGCCAAGGGGGGGCTGGCAAAAACCAAGGGCACAGCAGCAAGTACTGCAACCCCACCTCGTCCTCTCAATTGCATCTGATGTGCTTCCCCCCTCCAAAAAAAGGGGTGGAGCATCCCTGTCCTCCATGAGATTTTCCTCCAATATTGGCAAGTTTCAATTGCACTGAAATAATTTATTTCAGACAAACATTAGTAACCCTGGCACAAAGAGAGGATAAGAAGCAGCTTCCACCCCAGGATGTTCCTACCCTACATGAGCAAAGGAGCCAAGAGGAAACGAACATCTGCATTTTAGCAGTGAGCCACAGAGACATAGACACCAATGTCCTTCAAGACACTCTTATTCCTAAGTAGCTTTGGTCTGGGCTTTTTTAAGGGTATTTTAGATGCCTAAAGTTGGAGATGGGGCACGTGTGGCTGTGGGCAGAAATGCCTCCCTCCCTGCCTTGCTGGGCTGGTGTCGTGCAGGACAGAGCAGCTCAGCTGCCAACTCCAGCCTACGGCAAAGCATGACCAGAGCAGAGCCTAGCAGGATTTTCCAAGAAGAACTTCTGCCAACACTATGAGGTCACTGCCTAAAGCTTCAGGTACCCAAATACCTTGCTAAGTCTTGCCTGGAGTGACCTCCCCATGGTCAGGCTGGTAGACCCAGCAGCGCTGGTACCTTCAGCGGTATCTGCTGGCCTGCAGCCGGCATGCCCCTGTGACAGTGGGAGCACATGGCAGCTCTTGTGCCCCTTCAGCCTGGAGGAGGTGGTGGGGTGAAGGAGAAGGCAGGGTCTCCTCCTCTTCTCCTTCACCCCGCCGCCTCCCTCAGGCCACCTCGCTGATCGCCCACACAAAGCATGACCAGAGCAGAGCCTAGCAGGATTTTCCAAGAAGAACTTCTGCCAACACTATGAGGTCACTGCCTAAAGCTTCAGGTACCCAAATACCTTGCTAAGTCTTGCCTGGAGTGACCTCCCCATGGTCAGGCTGGTAGACCCAGCAGCGCTGGTACCTTCAGCGGTATCTGCTGGCCTGCAGCCGGCATGCCCCTGTGACAGTGGGAGCACATGGCAGCTCTTGTGCCCCTTCAGCCTGGAGGAGGTGGTGGGGTGAAGGAGAAGGCAGGGTCTCCTCCTCTTCTCCTTCACCCCGCCGCCTCCCTCAGGCCACCTCGCTGACCTCGTCCACATTGCTGGAGAGCATCTCCAAAGGGTCCACCAGCAAGGCAGCTTGGACCCATCGCTCATCCAGCAACCAAAGGAGAAATGTCTTAGGGGAGAGGGTCTAGACAACCTGTGCGAGAGGGGTTGCATTCAAAACACACAGGATACACCGTGCTTGTGTTACTGAAGGCAGAATAGGTCCATGTTCTTCGAGCGTGATGTGGTGAGACTGGCAATGTCCTTCTCAGGATGGGAAGCACATCCTTTCCTCTGTCACAGCCGGGTCCCAATCAAGCTCTGTCTTCTCCGTAGGTGACCTTGCCACAGACGCTTCCCACCACACCAGAGGAGTGAAGCTCCATCCCTTCACCTTCAGCAGCACCTGGGATACCCTAGACCCAGGCTGCCAAGGCCAGCAGGTGAGGCTTTGGAGCCTTCAGCTGGAGTCAACATATTCTGGAGACTGAGGAGAAGATTCCAGCAGCCAGGTGTGATGCTGAGGAGCTGGGCTGTCACCGCATAAGCATAGCGTGGTGCTGGTGCTACATGGTACACCACTTTCTTGCAGCATCCTATTTCTACAAGCCAGAGAGCAAAGTGCCACCATCCACCAGGACTGCAACTAAGCCAGAGACTGGTTTGAAGTAGGTTGATGGAGATAGGATAAAAGTAGTAATAACACCAGAACTGGTGTTTGTACAAAAAATGTGAGTACGGGATTACCTGTGCTCCACAACCTTTGCCACAGCATCACACAGATACAGGCAAATAACCCCTCTTCGAAAAGCAAAGATGCAGACCAGAAGA